GGCTGGTCTGAGGCCTAAATAGGTCGGTGCAGGAGGAAGATCCTCAGGAAATTCCCAGTCTCAGCTACTGGACCAACAGATTCAGTAACCTATCAGCAAAGTGCCTACCCCTGCCTCCAGGGGTTCAGGCACACCCATTACCTGGGAGGCAGGTGATGGGCAGGGGGGTTTCTTCACCAAGCATGAAGACAAGGTGACAGACCATCCCATCCACCATGTGGCCAATATGGCGCCGGCCAGACCTGACCTCCTTACTTCAGTTCTAGCAAGGGTCCCAAAGCAGATGATTGTGCACTCAAAAGGAAGAGATCACTTTAGAAATCTTTGGGCCAAAATGGCTAAGATCCACTAATCCCTTCCAAGGGCACACTCCTAATTATCTAAAGACCTCCCACTAAGTCTGACTTCTTGAAAGTTCAAAACCTGTCCCTGTATCATGAAGACAAAGCTCTTGCATAGTCCAGAGAACTTCTATGCTGCCAACTAGTCTGTTGTTAAATATTGAAGCCTGGACAGAATGAGGAGAGATTCATGTGGAAGTTGGCCCAGTGTGAGTTCTGGTTCTGAGAGCGTTAAGAAAGGTTCCATCACAGTAGGTGTTGCCCAGTCCAAAATGGGTAGGAAAAGTTTTATAGGAAAGTTATTTTTTCGTCAGCATCCATAAGTACTTAGATAGAACTGATTCCTGTCACCAATAACAGATTAACAAAAGAAAAACATAGATTTTTTTAACACATGTATTTCATACAGATAGGAGATACATCTGAGAGATGAGTAATTCTTAGAAGTGACTTAGGATCTTCAGTAAATAATAAGATTTTAGAGAAATCACAAGATAATAGAAAAATATGTTTATTCTCTAAGAGTTACAAATTGGTGAAAGGCAAATCAAGGCAAGTTAATAAAACCTGTTAATGTATATTTGTCTGATTTCATCTATAGGCAGATGATAAGAGTTTTAGGTTGTCTATCGTGGTCAGCCTTTGTTCTGTTGAGATGGGGTGATGTGAAACTTTTTTGCTCAGGAGGATATCCTTTATAATTTATGACTTCCTGTCTAGTTTTAGTCAAATAGAACAGGGAAGCCAGGTATTTTTCCTGCATTTGCTTCCTTTTAATTGTGCTCAACTCAATAGTCCTTCATGTTTTGGAGAGTGTATTTGTACAGAGATATATCATAACTCCTCATAGGCTCTCAGGATTTTTTGATGTATTGAATATTAAACACATGATGCATACTACACAAGTGTATACCTTCAGGATTTTTAAGGAATACTTTTTCATAGAAAATAAACTTTTTTGTCCCCAACTTTTTCACAAGGAATATTTTCTCCCACTCCTTTCTATACATTATAAAAATTGCTGGACCCAGAGCTGGTTGCTCACTATTTGAAAGCCAATACTTTGGAAATGAAAGTTAGTATGGAAGAAATCAAGCTTCTTCAAGGGCTGGTACCCTACTTGGAAGATGGAAGGGTTGTGTGACACTATTATCTCTCCCAAAACTACGTATGGAGAAACACAGGTAAACTAAAGGAATTTTATAAGAAGGTATAATGGACAGGAAGAATACATACTCTACAGGCTCTGGTGCTAGTGAGGTCTTCATTCTAGGTGTCTGTCTCCTATTTAATTTTTTTCTATGCCGGAACACCACAATGAACCTTGAATTCTTTGGACTAGTTCCTGTGGGTCTTTAAACAGACATACTAACTGGGTGGTGGTAGCTCACACCTGTAATCCTAGGTTCTCAGGAAGCTGAGATCTGAGGCTTGAGGCTCAAAGCCAGCTTACACAGGGAAAGTTCGTGAGACTCTCATCTCCAATTAAACACCAAAAAGCCAGAAGTGGATCTTTGTCTCAAGTGGTAGAACACTAGCCTTGAGCAAAAAAGCTTCTCTTGTGAATTTCAGTATGTCCATTTTTACTGCATTTCATGCTTCCACTTCCATCATTATTGCCCTAGGACTTTTTCATTCCACTCAAAGTTACTTTCTTCCAACAACTTACACCATCCTTCAGTAAGGTTCCAGTAACCCTGCAGTTGATAAAAATATAATTAAAAAATAAATACGTCATGTTTCTGCCTCTGCCTCCACTATTAAACCAATTTAACAATGGAAGATAGGTCTTTCTCATATTTGTATACCCAGAACCTAGCATAAATCTAAATACTCATTATTGCCAAATCCATGCCTATAGCACATCTGAGGACTTTAAAATGCATCCTCAGTGAGTATCTGATGAATGTATAAATGAATGATTAATTTGGCAATTTATTGAACAGGAATAAAGAAAACAAACAGCTGAGGTTTTTCATGAGTGATTGGGAGGATGTGAAGAAGGATTAAGTGGATACAAATAGAGGAACTAGTTTCAAGACAAAGGTATTAAATTGTTTTAAACAAGATGCATAGATTTAGGAAGTACAAGATAACACTTTGCAGCTTGTCACTGTATTCTTGACTAGGTCAGCAGTGTTATACAGTACTGTGAGCTAAAGGAATCTAGAAATCACAGTTGAAGATAAAAAGGTGTGGCAAGAAAGAATTAAAGAAGTAGAGAATTCAATACAGAATACTCAGGAATATGTGTACTAAAGGGAAAGGAACTAGGAGAATTCCCAGTAAAAGCTTCTGCACAGTGAAGGATATAGTTTCTAAGCTAAAAAAAACCTACAAAATGGGAGATCTTTGCCAGCTATATATTTGACAAGTCTAATAACTAGACTATGCTGAGAGCTCAAAAAACTAAAACTCTAAATAATCAATCCAATTAATAAACATACACAGAAGCTAAACAGATTCTAAAAATTAATATGGCTAATAAATACATGGAGTCAGACTCAACATCCTTGGCCATAAGGGAAATTCTATATCACTTCAGTCAAAATGGCCATCCTCAAGAATATGAACAGCAACAAATGCTAGTGACAGTGTGGGGAAGAAGGTAGCCTAATACACTAATAGCTTTCCTTGTTGGTGGTAATATAATTTATAGAAGTCAGTATGGAGATCAAAATTTGAAATAAACATAGAGCTAGCCTGTCATCCAGTGCGACATCTTTTGGGCATTGTTTTGAAAGATTGCATGGCAGGTTACAACAAAGGCATCTATACATCCAAATTGATTGCAGCACGGTTCACAATAGCCAAGTTATGTAAACACTCCAGATGTCCTACAATGGATGAAGGAGTAAAAAAATATGATATATATACATATACATACACAGCTAAATAAGAGGCTAAGTAAGAGGATTGCAGTCCAGGATACCCTAGACAAGAACAAAAAATAACACAAAAAGGACCTGAGAATATGATTCAAGCAATTACCTATCTAGTAAGTATAAGGTCATGAATTCAGAACTCCATTGCTACCTGGAAAAAAGTCTTTGAAGGTCTAGAGGCATGGCCCAAGGGCTAGATTGCTAGTTAACAAGGGCCCTAAGTTAAGTAATTAAATTTAAAAATTGAAAGTAATTTTACAAACAAAATATTTTAAATTCCTGTGTGCATGAACACATACACACACATATACACTCAAACACATACACACACACTTATAGGGCTGAGTTGATGCTAAGAAGCCCTCAGTACTGCATTATCAGTTGTGTTTAAATTATTGTGTGATCTACTGAGTCTTTCCCTGTGCATAAATTTGTGAGAATATGCCTCTGAAAACACAAATTGAAAACATGCTTTTCCCCCCCAAAAAGCAAAGTAAGTGTAAATATAAGTGGAGGAGGCAACAATGCTTGATAAAAAATGTACTCATTACCTTGCTCATGTAATTGTAACCCCTCTGGACGGTATTTTCACAATAAAAAAACTTATTAATAAAAAATAAAATAACTTATAGTTTATGCATACTAAAAAAGTGATAAGGTGAAATTTTTAATAAACCAACATCTACAGCACAGTACTGAATTCTATGTATATTTAATATTCATGGTTTTTCCTCAGTGGTGGGAACTATGTATTCATGGATAACAAGGGTCCACCATACTTGTGTTTTTACAAAAATGAGATGACATTATATATTTTGTTGTCACAAATTGCTTTTATTTTAATAGCATAACATGAAGTTTCTCTACATCAGTGTAATGTTTTTAATGTTTAAATAATGTTTCCTGCAACAGTTAAGTATCATCACTTTATTCTTCTGTTTAAATGTGTTTGCCTTCAGTTTTTTCCCTATTGCAAATAATTCTGCAGTCATTATCATTCTGTGTATGTGGACGCTGGACACTGAGTTGTTTTTTGTTTTTGTTTTTGTTTTTGCATTTTAGCTCAGAAAAAAAGTCTCATGGACTTTCTTGCCTGGGTAGCTTTGAATCTCAATCCTCAGATCTCAGATTCCTGAGTAGGTAAGATTATAGGTATGAGCCACCAGTGCTTAGCCTTGAATCCATTCTTAAAAGTAGAATTGTTGTCTGTAATTCTAAGTACTCAGGAGGCTGAGACCTGAAGAAACTCAGTTTCAAGCCAGATGGGGAAAAATAGTCTACAAAACTCTATTTCCAGTTAAGCAGCAAAGTGCCATATTGAAGGCATGGATCAAGTGGTAGAGTGCCAGCTATGAGCAGGAAAGCTAAGCAAGAGTGCAAGACCCTGAGCTCAATTCTAGGCACCAGCACCAAAAAAAAGTAGAATTGTTAGGATAGAAATACAGTTTTATTTTATGTTGACACATCATCTACAAAAACAATGTCAACCAGCAGTTATTCAAATAGTGTATTAAAGCGTTTTTGTCCCTACACCTTCACTGATAATGATGTTATAAACTTCCATTAAAGAGACAAATTTTGCATTTTTTTAAATTATTGTGGTAAGACCCAAAATAGACCTTTAGTAAATTATTCAAATTATACCTAAATAAAAATATAAGAAAAGAAAGTTCTCTGTACCATGAATTGTATTTCAACTCATGCTGAATTTAAATATCTTTGTTTCACATCCCTTTTTGTACTCTCTACAATTCATTCATTTTTGCTCTTTCAGTTTCTTAATGTCAAAATGTGATGAATGGTTACCTACAACCTCAGCATCCTTTAAAAAGCACCAAGACTCCCCACATAGTAAAGAGAACAACAAAAAGGAGAAGAAGACCGTTGGGTTTCAGTCATGTATAGAAGATGATGCCCAGTGGGTGTGTCCAAAAACAGATACATGCAAACCCCAAAGAGGTAAGTTATTTTACACTTGTTCTTGGAGTGGCTCTTGTATAACTTTGGAAGGGAAAAGAGCCTCACTGTACAGAAGAGAGGTGAGAGCTGAAGAGATTTGAACCCCCTTCTCCTCAGACCTTGTGAACATTCATCTTTTTTGCCTATTCACAACTACTAACCCCAATTCCTTTATTTAGCTCTTTTTTACATAGCTTTTTCACCTGCATTTTTATTTCTAACCACTTGTTAAATTCATTCATTTATTTAGGAGTGGAGCATTGCTTTATGAGAAAACCTTGCTTTTGCCTGCCTTTCCTACCAGCTGCCAGCTTTGTTGTGACTTTTGGTTTTAATTATGTTTAATCTAGAAATTGATTAATACTCTCCCAAGTAATTGAGAGGTGAAGTGACAATTAGTCCAATTTGACTCCACATTTGAAACAAAAGTTTGTTTTCTTTGACATAGGCAAGTTTTCTGCACATTTCCATTGCTTTAAGATGACCTAATAGTTTCTTTGGTACCAGACTTTGCTACCAAAACAAAAATGAAATTGTGTAGACTTACTGTATGAAATAGAACTTTCTTTCCTTTCTCGAGAGATAGTCTTTCAGACATGGAAAGCCCATGCTTCACCCTTCTCTTCTCTTAGTGATTGCACTTTGGAGTGGAGACCAGTTGAGAACTAGTCTGTTAGCTATGCTGCAAGGCTTAACATAGACTTCTGCTAACTTGTCAACAAATTCATGTTGTGTGTCAGCACTAAAATAAAATGCCAAAATGAAAAGATTGCAGTGTAATAGCAAAGAGACAAATAACTATGTTATTAGTAAAGATCACAACAACATTAGGAAGCAGCAATTGAAAAGGCACTTTGAGAAAAAGGTATCATCAGTCCTTGGCTGTGGTGGAGGTTAATAATCTCTCCTGGTTCCAGCTACCCAAGCCAGAAGCCCAAAAAGGGCTTATGTCCAAAAAAAATCAATTTCTAATTTGAAACAAAATTATTTTTGACTACTAGGAGTTCAGAACCCATTACTTTTTGCTGTGTAGTCTGCTGACATTTCAGCACTTTTTGTTGTACACAATGAATCCTAATGGTGGTTTCCTAAAGTTGTTGTACCAATCAATGTAACAAAGCAAAAGCAGTTAGAATTTTGTGAAGTTTTCAGGAACATTCTCACTCATGGTTTGTTTCAGTCTTTTTGTTTGTTTGTTTAGTTTTGTTTTTTGTTTTCACCCTTATTCCCATATACCTGCCTCTTTTTTCTTTTTCTTTTATTAGGGGGGAGATTGTAATGTTACAGTGGAAAAAACATATAGAAAACATTTCATCTTTTTTAAAACTATGATTTTAAGGTATTCTACTAGTGTATAAAATGATCTTGTATTTTTTCTTTCATTCTATTATTGAGCAATTAGCAAAATTATTAAGAAAGCTAAAGTTTCCCCCTTAGCCCCATTCTACTATTGCAGATCATTGTGAGCAGATTCCAGGACAGAACAAAATTATTGCATTAACTTTTTCTGTGACACCCAACTAAATGGGAGACCTCCTCTCTCAAGGTGTACAGAGCAGTAGACTTAGATGCTTCTTCATTTTAAAACTAATGACCTAGCACTGATTTTCCAAGTTACACTGTTTGGTCTGGTATTTCTTTAATTGCTTCCCCCTCTTTAGGGTGTCTGAATATTTTACTAACATTTTTTATGTCTTATATCCTTTGTTTCTTTCATTGTTGTCCTTTAATCATCAGATATTACAGGATATGTACTACAGGACCATTAATTAATCTTTATTGCCAGTCTCCTATTCAGTTACCTCTATCCTCAGCATTCCTCCAACTTGATTGATGCCAAATATATATAAGAGACCATATTAATTGACTCAATTAATGACTTTATACTAGCAAAATATGCACAGTATTGTCAGAATTATACATAAAACATAAACTGAATGCTTTATTTTATTTAGTTGCTTTTATAGAGCTATGTGGAATAGGGAGAAATTATTTGAAAAAAATCTAAACTTGGATCACTTGAGAAAACCTAAATTCATGCCTTTTGTAAGGCATGAATCTAGAAACACTTGATATTTGTTACTCTTTTTTCCTCTTATAGAGCAGCAAAACATTCTTTGCCTTTTTGCCTGGAATTCTTCCTTCCTGAGCAATTGCAAATTCCTTCTTTTAAAAGTGCTTGAAATTGAGCACATATTTTTTTTCATTATGCGTATGTGATAAATGAAGCTAAAACCCCTGAGCATACATGTTCCAGAACTGAAATATTATAATTTAGGCTTAGACACTAGTCCTTTCCTAAATAAAGCTTTAAGGCCTTCACAAAGCCCTTAACTATATTTAGAACTAGGACCTGTTTGAACCTCTTTCATGTATCTTTAAATTACCTTAAATCTTTTAGAAATGTTGACCCCTAGCATAACTTGGATTTAGATGATGGCTTGACCATGCCTTTGATTTATCTTTGGGATTTGTTGTTGTTGTTGTTGTGTGTAGTGTTTTTACTAAAAGAGAACTACTGTTGACTTAGTTGAAGTGAAGAATAATCTCTAAAGCACCTAATGAGTCTTCTAATTGACCTTGTACTTTCAAAGATGTGAACATTCTTTATTGCCAATAGTAGCAGGTGACATGATTAAAAACATAGCTAAGTTGAAATATCCAAAGTACAGAAACCATTTCCATCTTGTCTTAAAGGATCATGTTCCCTTTATCATTATTACCATAGGTATTATTATTATATTTAATCATAAGTACTAGAAGATGTTACTTCTGATTCCCAAAAGCTGAGATAAAAGATATAATATACAAGCCTGGTGCTGGTGATTGATGCCTGTAATCCTAGCTACTCAGGAAGCTGAGATCTGAGGATCATTGTTCAAAGCCAGCCCAGGCAGGAAACTCCGTGAGACTCTTATCTCCAATAAACCACTAGAAAACCAGAAGTGGCTCTGTGGCTCAAGAGTTCAAGTCCCACAACCAACCAAAAAAAAAAAGATATAATATCCATTGATAGTTTTATCAACAATATATAGAAGGCAAGCATATTAGAGTGTGATGAATAAACCCAGACATGTAGAATAAATTTTTATGTTCATTTTGTTAAAAAATTACAATGTAAGAGATTATTTTAAGAGTTGAAGTTGCTGTATATTGAATATTGTCACTTAAATAATAGCCCATACTTTTCATCCTTTACAATGGAAAGAAGTAGCTCAACAAATTGTCTCATTTACCTATTTATTATATATTTTTATATATCTTCTCTCACTAGAGTGTAGATTCAGTAGGTTCAGTATTATATCCCCATTACCTAACATGTAATGGGTGCTCATTTATATATCTGTTGAACAAATTAACATAACATTAAATATATTGATATTTTTCTATACCTTGTCCTGATTTCTCACAATAAGGAACTAATCAGTTAAGCCTTTTAACCTCAGTGCCTGTAGTGATTGTGATTTAAGCAAAATATCTGCTTATCCCTTCAAAGTCTTTATAATGATTGATTGCAGATGCCAAAGAGAAGGCAGTAGGGTTAGACTGAAAAACAGCATTGCCTTAGAAAGAAAATTGGTGTGTGTGTGTGTGTGTGTGTGTGTGTGTGTGTGTGTGTTGGTCCCAGGGCTTAAACAGCATGGGTACTGTTCCTGAGCTTTTATGCTCAAGGCTAGTGCTCTACTACTTGAAGAACAGTCCTACTTCCTGCTTTTGGGTGGTTAATTGAGATAATCCTTGGTGGCTCACTCCTATAATCCTAGTTATTCTGGTGGCTGAAATTTGAGAATCACAGTTCAAAGCCATCCCAGGTTGGAAAGTCCATGAAATTTTTATATCCAGTTGTGGAGTTGTTATAATAGTGGTAGAGAGCTGGCCTTAAGCATAAAGGCTCAGAGTCAGTGCCCAGACAATGAGTTCAAGCCCCAGGACCACAAAAATAAAAAAAGGAATCTCATGGACTTTCCTGCCTGGGCTACCTTTGAACTGTTCTCTTCAGATCTCAGCCTCTGAATAGCTCGTAATAGCTAGAAATACAAGTGTCCACCAGTGCCCAGCTGATTTTTTTTCTAATTTAGGTTTAATTTAGATACAATAGAATTGCATAGATCTAGTGGATTGCTGATAGCTCATGCTTTTAATAGATACTAAACATTAAAATGTATATGGAAATATGTATGTTAATGTGTATACATTTAAATGTACACATTTTAATGTATATTAAACATTAATGAATATGAAAACATTAAGTCAAATGACTATGTCACCTATGGCAAAATTATAATAATAATAACTGAGGCAAACAATAGACAAATCAAAAGCCAGGAAACTAGATAACTTAGACAAAATGGGTAAATTTCTAGAAACATTAGTAAAACTGACTCTAATAAATAGAAAATCTGAGTAGATCTTTAATGAAAGATTTAGTTAGTAATCAAAACCCCTCCCCTAAAAAAAAGACAAACCAAGGACCAGATCACTTTGCTAATGAATTCTACCAAATGTTTGTTGTTGTTGTTGTTGTTTTAAAAAGAGTGAAAACAAATTCTTCTAAGATTTTTTTCATATACGGTTACAGGGAAGAATCCATCCTACCTTGTTTTAAGAACTTCAGATACCAGAGCCAGGCAAACACTAATAAGAAAACTATAGATCAACCTCCCTTATAAATATGTATGAGAGTATCCTCAACAAAGGAGTAGCAAGCTGAATGCAGCAATGTATTAAAAGGCATGAGGTAGACAACAGTGGCTCAAGCCTGTAATCCCATCTACTCAAGGGGCTGAGATCTGAGAATCTTGAGGGAAGTTAATAAGCCTGTGAAACTCTTATCTTCAATTCATGCTGAAAGTGGAGCTTGTGGCTCAAGATGCTCACCCTAGGGAGAATACCCAGACCCTGAGTTCAAGCCCCAGAATTGGCATTAAAAAAAGGGGGGTGGGGAGATGCAGGTGATTAGGTACCATGGCCAAGTGGAATTTAGTTTAGGATTTAACTCA